TACCCACAATCTCTGGCACCACCCCTGCCAAGACCTAAGGCCTCTGGTGGAGGCATTAGTCCTGGGCAGGAGACCCCCAGCTCCCCGCGATCTCCCGCTCTGCCCCTGCCTAGACCTAATGCCTCTGGCCAAGGCATTAGGCCTGGGCAGGGGACCCCCAGCTTCCCGCGGTTGCAGGCTCCGCCCCTGCCCAGGCCTAACGCCTCTGGCCAAGGCATTAGGCCTGGGCAGGGTACCCCCAGCTCCCCGCAATCTCCCGCTCTGCCCCTGCCTAGACCTAATGCCTCTGACCGAGGCCTTAGGCCTGGGCAGGGGACCTCCAGCTGCCCAGAATCGCTGATAGGACCCCCGGCTCCCCGCAGTTGCTGGTTCCGCCCCTGCCCAGGCCTAACGCCTCTGGCCAAGGCGTTAGTCTGTGTAGGGGACCCCCAGCTCCCCACGATTGCAGGCTCCACCCCTGCCCAGGCCTAACATCTTTGGCCAAGGCTTTAGGCCTGGGCAAGGGATCCCTAGCTCCCCAGACTGCCGGCTCCGTCCCTGCCCAGCTCCTATTGCTGGCTCCACCCCTGCTTCCCGCTATCACTGGCCAGGGTGGCAAAGGCGCCTGGTTCTCTGATCACCCCTGGGGGCCGCCTTTGCCCTGCCTCCGGCTCTTAGCTCCCCCCTGGGTTTCCGATCACCGTCAGTGGCAGCGGGCTTCTTCTGTCCTTTCCCTTTTGCCTCCCAGCATTGTGCCTACATATGCAAATTAGCCGCCATCTTTGTTGGCGGTTAACCGCCATCTTGGCTGGCAGTTAATTTACATATCGCTGTGATTAGCCAATGGGAAGGGTAGTGGTTGTACTCTAATTACCATGTTTCTCTTTTATTAGATAGGATACCTTGTCCAGCTTTATAGTTTTTACCAAGGGAAGGTAAATCTGGTGCTTTTGTTGTGGCCATAACCAGAAATATCTGGAATTTATGTTTTTAGTTTATTTCATAAGAAATTATATAATAAGCGTATTTACTTGTATCAAACTAAGATTTGATTAAAAATGCATTGATTCATAGAGTAAATTGATGAGAATTGATATCTTTACATTTGCTCTTCCCGTCAATGAACATAAGGTACTGGACTTTTTTTCAGGCTTTTCCATAAAGCTTACAATATTCATATATTAAATCTCACATTTTTTTGTTGGATGTAACAAGGTAATATTATTTTTGCTAATGCATACAGTATTTTTAAAAATTTGTTGTTGGTACATTGAACTGTAACTGATCTTAAAGATGTGGCTAAACTTTTCATTAATTATAAAAATGTTTATGTTGATCTTACCCACATTGTTGAACTCTCTTATTAATTGTAATCATTTGCATCTAGACTATTTCATTTTTTCTTTATTCATAGTCATATCATCTGCAGCTCAAAAGAGTTATTTTTTTCCTCTTTTTGATCCTTACACCATTTATTTCTTTACTTCTGTCTTACTGCACATTATGATATAGAGGTAATGAACTTAGATCTGGATCTCAATCTTGGTCCTAATATTGGTTCTTGCCATAAGAGCAATCTTGGATTTTGACTTAGCTTACAGCCAAACAACGCAGGTTTTGGTTTTACTTCTGATTTATGTTTAATTTACTTTGATCTTACAGTGTTTCTTTACTTCCCACGAGTATAGCAATGCAGTTACAAATGTAGTTTCTATCCTCTCTAGATATTTTAAAGCTAGACATCAATATTTCAAGGTATCTGATTTTCTGTACTAGCACAGAAATAGATATAATTCTATGATAATAATTTTGATAAAAGGAATTCTTTGACAGTGATTTTTCCTAACAGAAATGATCTCTTCCTTAGGAATTGGTGTGCTTATGTGCACACCAGATTGTCTCCCACAGTGGTACTGGACAACCAAGTCACTCACGTTCCGAGTGGGAGAAGGCCTTGTGGCTGGAACAGTGGGCTCTGTCCCCAGAGGTATGTCATGGTTCTTGAAAACAGTAATTTCTGGCATCAAAATTGTGTATGGCCTGGAATATATATGGAGAAAGTTAATCATCTCAAATACATATATAGAGTAGGTTCATCACATTAAACTATATGTATGATCATGGATAAGTAAAATGCAGATACTACTAATACTTGCCTAAATGGGTGTTTTTATAATATGTGAGATAATGCAGGGCTATCCTTATACTAGTATCTTTAATAAATGTTCACTCTCATGCTTGTTTCTTTTTTTACTACTGCTATTACGTTTATTCGGTAACCTTATCAACAATCCTAGCCTTCATTTCCTTATGAAATTCACACACAGCTTTAGAGGTTTATTGATAATTTCCCTTTCATTATAGGTTAGAGAGAAGTCCACAGTGTGGCAGGCCCCCAATTGCAGTTATGCACAGTAAAGCAGCTCCGTGGGGCCTTTCTTTTTGTGTCTATTTTAATGACACATGTTATTTAGTTTTCATTTTTTTAAAAAAAAACCCATGTAATTGTTCTAATACGTGGGGCTGAGTAACTGATAAATTCTCTGAATTCATACAGTCACAGTAGCTTAGCTGGGGGTATTTCAGAAGAATGTGCAATAAAAGCTAAAATTGTTATTCAGGTCATGATGGCTAATGTTATGCAAATTGTCATACGAATAACTCAGGCAATGAATCTGACACATCGGCAATCTGGAACAGTGTGCAGTAAGAATACATAAAATCAAGGTGTTGCTTAGTCCCTGAGGAATAGCTACAGTTCATGGTCCAGAGAGCTAAGCACATCTTAGGGATTTGGGAGAGCTGAGCTCCAGTTCTGCTTTCAGCATCTACTCCCTTTGTGACACTTTCCTTGTCGACATGAGATACAAAGAATGCCTGGTTAATTCTTTAGTAATGAAAATATTACCACAGAAACATGTATCATACTGCCCTTCTGAGTTCAAGGTGAGCTTTTTAAATAAACCAGGAATATGTATCTTTATTTTCCTCTCTTACTTTTCTCTACCTTTGAATGGATCTCTCCATTTATTCACTATTTCAGTATCAGTGCAATGTTTGTCACCTTCTTGTTCATCACATCTGAGCAGCATACAGCAGAAATCCAGTTTGCCAAAGCAGGGAACATTGGCTCTGACAATAATGCAGCTAACTGCTTGAGTTCATCCTTATAAACTCGAAGGAGTCCTTTTCCCACCTGCCTTACTTCCTATTTAGCTTTAGCTTCTGGACTGGAGATGATATTTCACTGGACAAAGTTATTTACTGAAAATAATTTACTGAAATAAGCAGAAATAAATGATTAGCCTGCATTTAGAGATAAAATGAGTCTTAGAGGTCATCTGAAAATTGAGGAATAACCTCATACATTTTGAATTACCCATTGTTGCAGCAGAAACTAAAACCCAAGTCTCCCAAAGCAAAGCCCAGTCCATTATAGTGTATTTCCTCCACATAATAAATAAAGGGTTTATTTATGAAAGTGACTACAGTATTTCCAAGTAGTTGTATATGACAAACACTAGATCATACCAGGGAGGCTAACCCGCACAGCATGGGTGAAAACCCCAGCTTGATTACTTTTAGATATGGGACTTCGAGCAAATTATTTCATCTCTCTGTTCCACAGCTTCTTCATTAGCAAATTGGGATAATAATACTTTCCTTATAGAACTTATGTGAGAATTAAACAAAATGATATAGGTCCATTTCATAGATCCATTTGATAAATATTAACTAAATACTGAAGTCATGGGGATAAAAACAATATGGCCAAATTGTATTTATGACTTGCATTTACATACCTTGAGCCTACAATTGTGTATTATTCACTATTTATATTGATTCTCGAAATGTTATAGTTTCTAGAATTCCCATTCATGCTTCCTTCTCAGAAATATTTTATCATGTTAGACCTTTTCCTCTCTCCCCAACCCCTCTCAGAGAAATACTACATGAACAAAATAATATATGGTGTGATTTTAAAATGTGAGAAATGAGAAAGTTCAGGCTAAAACCACAGTGGCTATCATAATTTCAATTAGATTACTAATATCCAATTTGCTGTAAGTTGTTTGTTATTGATCAGGAGTAAAAAGGATCCCTTTAACTATAACAATATAAGAAATAATGAGAATTGAAATAAAACTAAATTGCCTCTATAGACTATTGAAAAATGAGAATTAAATTAACTTTTGGGGAAAAAAAGGAGACATATGTAATACTCTTTGTAATACTTTAAGCAATAAAACAACATTTTAAAAAAAGAGTGTAAGCTACAAAAAAAATAACTTTTAACATTGGTTTAGTGAAACGCATTATAAAAGGAAAAGCTATAGTATCTTTAGAAATGTAATGGTAGCCATAAATTTAAAATATCAAATAGTATGACCTTTAACACATTTTTAATGTGTTTAAAGAAATCTCAGTTTGACAATGACATTAATGATAAATATACTAATAATAGTAATGGTAATAATAACAACCGATAACGCTTACTGAATGCTTATTATATTTCAGAAATCATCCCAAACGCTTTACATTAATTACTCCAAGTGATAATTGAACGTGAGGCAAATAACCCATTTCCTGCAATTGCTCTCCTCTCTAGATCTCAGAGGATATCAAATCCTGTCTACAGGATGCAACATAAAATTGTTACCTCATTGGAATGGAAATGCTGTCCTGGATTCAGTGGAGCAAAATGTCAGCTAAAAGGTATCATCTAATACTAATTTTGTAATAACAATTAGAAGCATAAACTTCTGAAGAATAAGCAACTGATCCTAGTGAAGAAAAGAGTTGCATTTTCCCTTTTGAATCAGTTAATTAACATGTAACCAAACTATTAGGACTTACCTTTTCAGTGCCCCCTAACTTGGTAGCTATTATAGTACCCTCAAATCTCATAATCTGTCTTTTAAATTCTCCCCTTATTTTTATGTTGGTTTTACATAATGGGTGAATGGAGATCTCATTAAATAGCTTTCTTTTTTCCTTAGCCATGTGCTGTAGAAACATGCCTTATTAAAATACTAGAAATCCCAATTTTTTAAAAATTATCATTAGACATGACCCTATGTAAAATAAAAAAAAACTACACTCTATTTTTTCCAGTTCAATTATTTTAAATAATATTGTCTTTATAAATGAAACTCAGTTTTAAAGAATATATACAAATATGGCATGAATTATTCTGCTTTTTTTAAAAAATCCTAATGGAGCCATTTTTTTTCAACTGAGATTATAAGGGTTTTCTGGTAGCAAGATCTGATCAAACACATGGTAGCCTGCTGTGGCCTAACATCCATGCGACTATTATTTTGCTTATGGCTTTAAACAGGTTTCCTTTGAAAAAGAAGATATGGTATCAGCATACATATTTTAAATGAATGAATATTACAAGAAAGGCCATTAGCTGTGGTGGGGAATTCAATCAGCTGTGTAGGAGACTGTGATTAAAAATTAATGTAAGTGTGGAGAAACCATTATGATTCATATTTAAAAAAAGAAAATTGTTATATTAGTACAGAAGCTATAGGAAGCCTGCAATTTAGTTAGAGATATTACTTACATATGGTTCTTCTAGCCCAATTCAATGAGAATCTAAAGAGAAATTTCATTGTAATGCTATTTGTTCTGGGTCTGACTTTCAGAGATGTTAAAAAATTTAATACATTTTCAGAGTATAACATGTATATGTATTTCATTTATAATCAGGTAAAGTAAACTTTTAAACAAAATATCTGCACCCAAATATTTGGAAACAAGATAATTTAGGATATTCTTTAAAAATCCAAGCATGAAGCGTGATACTGCTTTCAAAGGACTTTGGACTTCTACGAGTGCATAGATGTGCTCACAGTGGTAAAACGTATTTGTTTATAGTCTGTATTTGGCAGATGGCTGAAAGTTCTGGGCAGTATTTAGAATTATATTTCTAAAGTCTAAGATTATTTTTGTGTTTCTCTGATATAAAGAAGGATTTGTTAGGAATATTAATTGCATCATTATTTCTTAAAGATTCAAGTGTTGTTCACAGTATACCTTCCTGGAAATTTAGAATGTCATTACACATCCCATGGTATAGAGGGGCTGGATACAGCTATATGGCAGGAAGCAAAGTCTGTTCCCCAAAGCTGATAAGGACTGCGGTTGCTCCAGGCTTTGTTTTTTTTTATGCCGACTACAGTTGACCTTTGAACAATGCAGGAGTTAGGGGTGCTAACACCTCACGCAGTAAAAAATCCACATATAACTTTTGAGTTCCGTGGGGGATTGGTCACGGGACTCACACAGAGATACCCAAATCCACAGATGCTCAACTCCCTTTTATAAAATGAAACATTGCAGTGTATACTGTGGGCCCTCAGCATCTGTGGATTCCAAACCGCTGATGACTGGGCTCCGCCCTTCGGGACATGGCTCAGCCCTTCGTAACTAGGCTGAAAAACCCCCCACAAAAAACTGCTTTCCATCTGGGTTGGTGGAATCTGCAGATGCAAAACCCTGGGATACGGAGGGCCAGCTGTATATTTATTGGAAAAAATCCACTTATGAGTGGGCCCACACAGTTCAAGCCCATGTTTTTGCAAGGGTTAACTCAAATAGATTAATAATACACCCAAGAGGGGAAAACACACACACACACACATAGAATTTCGTCATTATAAATGTACACACGAGAAACAAGACTAGCTGACAATTTTGAATATCGACTATGTACTGTTATTCCCCTTTTCTCAAAGTATTATATGAAACTAGAAGCCCAGGGCACGCAATTCATGCACGGGTAGGGTCCCTAGTGGCCGCCGGCTGGGGCCTCCCTTCCTGTGGTTGGCTGGCCTGCCCTGCCCCCTGATGGGGGAGGGATGGACAATTGGGGGCAGGGCTGGCTGGGGGGAGGGGCTCCGGGTCATTGGAAGGCCAGCCTCCCCCCCCCCCCCACCACCACCCGTCAAACTCCTGGTTAAACTCTCCATCAAGGGGACAATTTGCATATTAGGCTTTTATTATATAGGATATTTAAATTAAATTCAAATAGTTTAGTTTTAAATGTTTAATGACACCTTGTGTTCTAAGTAGAAGCAGCCAGTGGATTACTTTAACACTAGGTTTATAAATTGTTACCTTGAATCCCCATTAACCAAAATGTCCCAGAACCATTTTGACTGTGACCTTCTGTCACAATACTATAATTAGAATTAGTTACAGTTCAGGTACCTGCTGCTGATAAGCTGCTGTGGAGAGGTCTTCTTTCTATTGAAATCGAGAACAGGAATAATTTTCTGATGGCTGATATGCCCATTGTGTGAGATTGTCATACAATTAATTCTAATACCACTGCAATTCTAAAAGAACCTACGGTTGCTCCCTACAATATTCTGACCATCGTACTCTTCAGTTGTATTGCAGTACAAGCTATTGAATTTTTTATTAGTGCAATTGATGCACTGGTAGTATCAAGAACTACTGTGTCTCTTTGTCACTTCAACCATTCTTTATTATCTCATCTATCCTGGGGTGTGTTTTTGCCCTCCCCCTTCTGATTCCTACCCAATTACATGTCAAGTTCCTCCACCCCTTTTTATCACACTTTATATATGTGCCAACAGCCTTGTATTCTTATATGGGAGAAACAATTGTCAGGTTTCCTTTGACAACACTCTCTATGCTGTCTCATATGACAAGCCGCCACAAATATGGCAAGAATAACCAGTGTGACTGATTCATTCTTTAAACCTCTTCAGAGCCCTGAAGTGTTTGGAATACCTTGGTTGTGGTAACTACCATAATTACTTCAGTGCTAGTTCTTCACATCAGGAGATTATTTTAGAAATAATATTCATAGAAAATGTGTGAAATACTGCATACGTTTCACAAATCCCTGCCTCCCCAACAAGTTTCCTCCTCCAAAGAAAAATAAATTTTATAAAACAAAAATAAAAACTTTATTTAAGTTTATATCCTAGGACAGGGTTGGGCAACCCCTGGCATGCGTGCCAAACATGGCACGCCAGTAACTTTTGCTGGCACACGAAACCCTCTCTTATAATCTTCCATTTACAATTTTTTTCTTAATATCGACTTTTTTATTTTTCAGATAAATTCAGTGTAGGTGCATCTTAGATAAATAAATAATTTTACATAATAAGTTATCTTAAAGACCATAGACATGGATTGACAAGAGAGGGGAAGAGCAATTTCTATGCCTCTGCCTTAACTCTCCCTGCCTTTCTAGATCCGACCAGTGTTGTGGTTTCATCCACATACGCTTGTGAATCTTTGTTCTCAGTGATGAATTTTGTTAAGTCTCATAATAGGAGTAGCCTGACGGATGAAAGTAGTAGCTCGTGCATATCTCTGAAGGTCACGAAATAGAAACCTGATGCAAAATCTCTGTCATCCGTGATGCAGCAGCAAAAGTCCCACTGATAATATCAAACAGTCATAAAGTTTTCTGTCGGACTATCAGTGTACGTGTATACATTAAAAAATAAATGTATTTTTCATCATCATATACTGTGTTTTTGTCGCTCGAATGAATTTTATTTTTTCTTCAAGGTTCTTCACATACGTACACCTTAAGAGATATCAAGTAGGCGTAACATGTTCTCAAAAAATTAGGGTTGGCACTTAGAAGAATTTTGAGTCAGAGATTTTGCTGGTTTTGGCACGCACTCACAAAAAGGTTGCCCACCCCTGTCCTTGGAGGAAGATCTTTTAAATGATATAAAAGAGATTAATAGGTCAGGGATAAATTAGAGCTGCTAGCAACTATACTCTTTTATGTCTCCTCCTCCACTTGGTACCCCTCTGTCTTTTTCTTTTTTCCTTTGTCTCTATAGAACCACCCCATCTGTTAGGAAGGAATGTCGGGATTCAAAATAAGGGAGCAACTCTTACTGTGTCTTATCCTGCAACATGCTGTTTATAATATTACTGAACCTCCACACATGCTCTTTTTGAAGTAACTCAGATGTCAAAATTCTGGTAACAAGCTCTAGATTATTAAAAATATTAATCATACTTTCAAGAGAAAACCAATTTTTTTAAAAAAAAGTCTAAGCGAATAGAATTTTGTTGAAAGAAGGAGCATCAAATCCAATGGCAATGCAATAGTTTTAATATATTTTACATTTGTTATACCTTTTTGAGGGTCAAATGGTTTGTCAGAAAGGGGCCTAATTTTATATGATACCTGAGATGTGTTTTTGAAATGTCATTAACAACATACTTTTTAAACGAATTTTATAAAATTTGCAATAATATACTTTTTTAGTAGATGTCTCTAAAATGTTCTAAAGTAGAATAAGGACAGTGTGGCTTTCTCTAATGACACAAAGAACAGAAATTTAAGTTCAAATAATGTTAGATTAGAGAGGAGAAAAGAAAAACTTCTTTGCAAATCTGTTCAAAATAATCCAGTCAGTTTTAGTCAGATCCTCTACACAGGAAAAAGGTAAAAAGGGTAAAAAGGTCTTTTATAAAATTACTAGAGGCCTGGTACACAAAATTAGTGCCTGGGTAAGGTCCCTAGGCTTGGCTGGCGATCAGGGCTGATCAGATTCCCTGCCTCCAAGTATCCCTGCCTCCTCTTTCCCTCACTCCCTCAGTGCTCCACCACAGCTGCTGCTGGTCGCCTGCTGTGTTCTGCACTGCCCCCTGGTGGTCAGTGCATGTCATAGTGAGTGATTGAACTCCAGGTCTCCCGGTTGAACTCCTGAGGGGACACTTTGCATATTAGCCTTTTTAAAAAATGATACTTATACTAGAGGCCCTGTGCAAGAATTCGTGCATGGGTGGGGTCCCTCAGCCTGGCCAGCTATCGGGCTGATTAGGGCCATCTCGTCCAGTCCCGATGAGGCCGATCAGGCTGATCGGGGCCGGCCAGCTGGAGAGAGGGACCACAAGAGGTTGGCTGGCCATGGGAAGTTGGCTGTGGGAGCACACTGACCACCAGGGGGCAGCTCTGCATTGAGCATCTTCTGCGTGTCATAGCTACTAGCCGGTTGTCTGGTCATCTGGTCTTAACGGTCACTTAGGCTTTTATATATATAGATACAATCTATCACAGATATTCTAAAATATGTCATGCAGTTATTGGAATAAACTGATCCCTACCATATGTTATGAATATATGAAAATGTTTTATTTCACAAATGCTGTGAAATAATTCAATAAATTATGTAAGAGCTATTGTAATTAACATTTTTAAATGGGGCTTTTCCAATAAGATTATTTTAAAATATTGCTTCGATTAATATGAAATGAGTTATAATATTTAAAACAGAAAAAAACCTTCTATTGCTTATATTTTTGCATATCTAATTCTTCCAGGTAGTGACTAATACTTTCCTCTTTGAGAAAGAAGATTGCCTCCTACAAACATATTGCGCAATAAAATTATGATGCATTTTGTCAAAAAAGTCTTTGTTTCTCCAAATTGCCTTATTCAATCTAACTACTAAATCTCAGTAAATCTTTATGTATGCACTGAACTCCACCGTGCAAGCATTCACTTCATGTTGCAGGATCAGCTGGACACTGGTCTTGTCAAGCCACACAGGCAGGTTCCTAAGGAAGAGAGAGCAAGCTTTCTCATTACTGAGTTGGCATAATGATTTCCTCCATATGTCTCAAAGGCCTGGGGAAAAAACATCCACCAATAACACTTGTGTAATTTAAAAAAGAAAGAAAAGAAAATTTATCTAATAAGAAAGCTGTTGCTCTTGACACTTGCTGACCTTGCTTGCTTCTCTGAGTCCTTAATCTACCAAGGTCAGAGTTTACAGTGCAAGGAAAAAAAAAAGAGTAATTGTATTGGGAGAAGAGGATAAAAAGGAAACCTTTTAAAAATATATTGAATTTTTAAAAAATCTGAAGTGCATAAATAAAAGCTTTTTTTTTTTGGTCTCAGTGTCTATCTCTTAGAAAGGATCAAGAAAAGACAGAAATCGATGTCCTATAGGACAAAGCAAAAGTCTGTGCTTAAGTGCAAGATAAGATAGATTGCCTGGAAAACCTAGGATCTGCGGCAGTCCTTGTGGTAGAGAATACATATGGGAAGACAGAAAGATTGCTAAGTGAAAAAAATAAAGCGCATCGATCGAATGGGAACTTTATCACAGGAGAGTAACTGACTCCACTGCCAGAGATTCTATCAGCACTTCTCCACCAGCTGAATCCCATGAATAAATTGGGATGAATGCAAGTTGAACTCCAGTCAACAAACAGAGCTAGAAAAAGATAACGTAAACAATTGAATTTGTTAAACAGGCATTTAAAGTTTTTAACAGCATTGGCAGGGACCCCATCCAACGAGTTTCAGAGAAAAGAGGTTCCTATGACAATTGTATCGAAAGATCTTTGTGTGGTGCTTACTAATTTATTTATTTGTTTATTTTTTACCTTAGGAATATAATTTTCTCAGCTATTTCCTCCTATCGCAATAAATTTAAAAACTATAGCTAAGAGTAAATGGAAAGTTTAGTGCACACACACAATCACACTAGTTTTTTGTCATGCAATATTTAAGTATTTTTCCAATTACACTTTCTTTTAAATCTGTCTTTTTAAAATTTCACAAAATTATGGAGAAAAATTTTCTCATTTCATATATATTATGTTTCCACATAATGAGGAGTGAATCACCAAAGATCAGTGTTCAAGAAAACTAAAGACTTTCACTTGATACTTCTATGTATTATTCTTTATCCCTTTCAATTTCTTTCTAAAGAAAATTACTTGTCATTGATTTATTTTTTCTAATCTGCTTTTACTAAACTTTTATTTTTAATCTGCTGATTCACTCCAGTATGTCACATTCTATTCTCTTGTTTGCAATGCAATAGCATTTTTCCAGATCACATGAAGTAAATTTATTTGAAATTCTTTTGATCCTAAGGTCAATGGAAATTAGATTTTACCTCTTCATTTATCTCCTTTCTATTCTTGACACTTGACCTTATACCCAGGTTTGTTTTCACTTCTTGCATATTCAGGATCTTGCCTGGACTGCGTGGCATAGAGAGAACTATGAGGATAAAGTGCCCTCACTCAAATATGACCCTAGGAGACTTAAAATGCCCACATGATCTTGTGAATGTGTGTGTGTGTGTGTGTGTGTGTGTGTGTGTGTGTGATTCCCTGCTTTGCCAGTCCTTCTCAAATGCAGAAGGAAACTACATGATATGCAGTGTTGCAATCTCCACAATCAGAGGACAACATGCAATACAAAGAGTGAGATAGAGATCTGATTTCATTAGAATATAATGCAACATAAAACAATGCCTTACTATTTGTAATAAAGCTTTAGCAAAGTTTTGAGCCTCTAGAAATAAACCCTATGTAAAATTCCTGTGATTTTGTTGAGGTCACTCCACTTCGGTAAGGGTCATTAATACCTAAACCAATCTGCCTCTTGATTATGAGGATAGGGTGGGAGGGGTCAGGGGCCATATTCAAACATTTAACAACCAATTCAGTTGTTATTTTGTATATTAAAAGATGTTCCAGCCCTAACCAGTTTGGCTCAATGGATAAAGTGTTGGCCTTCGGACTGAAAGGTCCCAGGTTCGATTCCGGTCAAGGGCATGTACCTTGGTTGCAGGCACATCCCCAGTAGGAGGTGTGTAGGAGGCAGCTGATAGATGTTTCTCTCTCATCGATGTTTCTAACTCTCTATCCCTCTCCCTTCCTCTCTGTAAAAAAAATCAATAAAATATATTTTTAAAAAAGATGTTCCAGACTAACAAAGATTAATAATTTATTATAAATTCTTGAATAATATTTATGGAAAAATATTATGTACTAACAAGTAAACTAAAGTAAGCATCAAACAACTTGCTGATTCTGCTAAAACACTGAATGTTTCATAAAGACTCTAGTGCACAACATGGACCAGAAACTGTTAGCTCTGGAAATATTTCTCAGATGTTGTTACAATAGGAATTCCATTCATCATGTATTCTACAAGACATGCTTGAGAGAAAGAGAGAGAGAGAAAGAGAGAGAGATCTATGTGAGAGAGAAGCATCAATCAGTTGCCTTCTGTACATGCCCCGACTGGGGATAGAACCCACAACCCAAGTATGTGCCCTGACCAGGAATTGAACCAGCAACCTTTCAATGCACAGGATGACACTCAACCAACTGAGCCACTCCGGCTGGGTGAAAATTAATACTTTCCACCACATACCGCAGCCCCCAAATAAGACCACTTTTTCCCAAGCTGTAGATTGTCTTCTTCAACCAAATATATCAATGATTATATAGGACTTTCTATAACACAGCAGGGTGAGGGGGTGGACAATATAAAAACATAAACCTTGGGCATGAATGGAAATTTATTAATTTAGCTCAATGCTCTGAAGAAAAACAATGCAAAATTCAGTCTAACATAAGAGACTAACTAAAATTAACGCCAAGTATACTTTCTATGGAGTGAAGATGCTTTAGTATTATTCTCAGCCACGTAGGCCTAGAGAGCATAATTACCATGTGCTGTTTCATGGTAAAGAGGTGAAGTTTCATTGGTACATAATTTCACATGGGAAGAAGTACAGACACCAAACACTTATTTTCTCGTGTCTGATATGCAGATTTCAATGAATAAAATAGTTCATTAGAAGTCTGAAAATTACAGACAGGCATTACTTAATATAGTCAATATTTTAGTGTCTTCCTTTAAATTGTTTTCCCCAATGAAAAATTTATATTGTCATTGAAAGTATTATTTGATTTATGGGAAATATAAGTGATTTTTTAACAGAGAGATTTATGTCATAAGACTTTCAATTTTCTGAAATTTTACTGGTTTTGCAGGTTGGCCCCCTTGAGACGAGTTCTGTAATAGTTTACTTTTACTTGCAGTTTTACGTTTTGAGCCTATGGGTTTCTTAAAAATCTGGGGAAAACCCAGGTAAGTGGCCTACTACTTAAACAGATATTCTTTCAGTAAGGAACCGTAGCTCTCCCTTATTTCCAAGTAGACACCAGTTGGAAATCGCATTGTTAAACATGTAATCTGTGGCAGAAAATTATAAAACTGCTGTGGCTTTTAGCACAGCTGATTTTAAAGTCTCCTCAATTATGCAGGCAGTTTAAGCCTGCCGGTTCACAGCTTCTCCGGACTACCAACCATGTTCATCTAAAAAGAGATCGCAATATTTTTTCAGAGCACAATGAGGGCCCGCACTTCCAAAATCAGCGGGGTCACACGCTGCCCTATGGATGGGGGCGGAGCAGCTTACTCTGCAATCCTCCAGGCATGCTTCAGTACGCAGGAAAACGAACGTCAGCCACATTATTGCTCAGGACTGGAGAAAGAAAATGAGGCAGCCCCCATGTTTAACTCTCTCTCCTCTCTTTTTGCTTCTGTCTAGCCCAGGAACAGCAGCAGTTGATACACAGCAACCAGGCTGAGAGTCACGCAGCTATTGGCGGAGAAACAGCCGAGCAGCAGCGGCAACAGCAGCAGCAAGATCCAGGTCACAGATTGTAATAGCTACCATCCCCAGCCCAATTATTGTCAACGCTATTTAGGACAACTTCCAAACGGGACATCACCTGCCTGTCAAATGCCTGTTGTTGACACATTAACACACCTCTGAACCCTTTTCTATTGGTGCTGCATGTGGGCCAATCTTTGGCTGAGGTGCGGGTTCCCTGCCTGAATTACTCTGTGTGCAAACACAGGAGGAGGATAAAAATGCCGCCACATGTTTCCAAAATAAAATCAAACTTTTGTCCTCCAGAGAGTGCAACCATGGAAGAATCTTGACATGGGAGGAATGGCTTGATTCCTTTGGAGGGAGCTAAGAAGGCTTCCTTCCATTGGTGATAGAGATCAAGAAGGGGTGTTGATCACTGACTAGGGAAAAGTATTGTGACTAAGAGCTAACAAGAATCTCTTGTTAATCCAAAGTGGTCCTATTACATATTTTCTCATCTTCTTAATCATAATCACTTTACCATTTCTTTTAGGCTCAACTTTATCTGTTAGGTTGATTACTGATAAAAACATCTCTTCACTGTATTTGGTGTAGTTATACAAAATCGGGCAGTCAAATTAAGGTGATCTCTTTAAGAATGCAGGTGAATATATCTTAGAAATTGTACTCTAAATTTTTAAGGCATTGAAATTCAGTATCTTCATAAAATATCATAAAATCCTCCTTGTATTATTGAAGTGCCTTTGAAAGGCATGAACAGTAGCACTGCTAATAAAGTGATTTAAGCTGAAATCTATCTCTCATTAAAAAATACCTCAGTAGAGAATACTTCTCAGAATATAAATGCATTTACATACTTATATGTATACAGCTACATGTACTTAATGCTGGAGTTGGATTTGAAAGTAGAAGATGAGGCATTAGCTCTGTAACCTTAAGCAAGTTATTTTGTTTTTCTGACCCTGAATTTCTTCATCTATTGAGACTTTAGCAAAAACTCTTTGTTGTTAAAAAAAAGATTAAAAATTCTGGGCATAGTTAAAAGATTTTAGAAATCTAAGCTGATATAATACTTTGACAAATTTCTACCCCTAAATAGTGTAAAATTCAGTTTGCCATTTGCTAAATGCATGTAGCCTATACCTTTAAATATACAGTGCAAACATGATTTGTTTGAATTATCCTTACACCTATCATAAAATTTAAAAGGTTTTAAATATGTATTTTTCAATGTTTCCAATGTTCTCTTCTTCTCCATACAGCAGTGACACAAAAAATGAGTGATCAGCTGAACCAGCAGGCAGTAAAACTGACCCTTCTGCAGAAGAGGATTGACAACATTTCTCTGGCTGTGACTGATGTAAGGAGCACGTTCTCCTCCCTAGAAGAGAAAATCAATGAAGATAAAGGGAGGGAATTTCAATCTTTTCTAAAAGGTAAAAGTAAAACAAAATAAATTATTCATTCAGTTAAGACAAAAGGCAAAAAACTCATTTATCTTTTCTCATATCACTTTGGTATTTTGCTTTAGATTGGGTGGCATATCAGTCTAATATATATTTTTAATAACCTCTTTTTAAATCACTTAATTTCTGAAATAATTTGGAATATCTAAATATTTTTCACCATGTAGTCAAATCTTTGACTGAATGTTTCATCTGATTTATTGACATTATGTGCTTAGTTAAAGCCTAACTTGGTATTTCTTTATAGTTAAAAGAAATTTAACTATGAGTCATATTTATTTTCATTCTGATTTTTAGCTCAGGATAAAGATGAGGTTAAGGAATGATTAACAAGGTAGCTAGATACATTGTTATCTCAATAATATTGCTGAAGGTATTGAGGATAAATCTGAAGTCCATTATTATCCCAGAAATTATCTAGCTTCTGGAATATAATAAATAAAATATATCCTAAAACATCTCAGGTCAGAGGAATAATTTTTTATAAATGTGAATCAGCTTTGTCTGAATTTTGTGCCTTTAAAACAACAGGCTGTGTTCCTTCCTGGAGGTTCTACAGGATAATCTATTTCCTGTGAATTCAAGTTGTCAGAATTCATTTTCTTGCAGTTGTAAAACTGAGGTTTTATTGTCTTGGCGGCTATAAACTGAGGCTTGTTTCCAGCTTCTAGAGTTCACTGCATTTCTTGCCTCATGTCTTTTTTTCCATCTTTGAAATCTCACAACTGTTGAATCCTCCTGACATCTCTCAGACCCACTCTTCTGCCTTTCTCTTCCTCTTTTAAGGACCCATATGATTGCATTGGGCTCACCTGGATAACACAGGCTAATCGCATCTGAAGGTTCTTAACCTTAATCACATCTGGTAAGGCCCTTTGCCATGTAAGATAACATATTCGCAGGTTCAGAGAATTCGGGTGTGGACATCTTGGATAGGGAAGGATTATTCTGCCTTCCACAGACATTTATCAATAGCAGGTAATTGCTATGGTAGTGTTAAGCACATGGTACAATGGGTCTGATTGATAGTTTCAACAGCTCCAGTAGAAGGAGACCTGGAGGAGACCTGGGAAGGCTTCTATGAATTAATAAAATGATGGTCAGGAGGAGTTAATTAGCCAAAGGGTTTTCAGGTAGGGCATGGATATTCTAGGAAAGTATTTTGGTTACTAGGAACATCCCAATTCACTGGGTTTATTGTTTGTTCCTAAGTTTCAGGATTATTGATTCCTTTCATTTTGTTCATATAAAAAATATGAACAATATCACTTGCACATTATTGTTGTTGTTTTTCTAATTTTCACCTGTGGTTTACAGGTAAAAGATATTTTTTAAAAAGTGGAAGTTTCTATTTCCATATCATCTACCAGTAAAGGAGCAACCATGATTGTTTTAATCATGTAAATAATTGGTGCTAGTAAGTCACTGAAAGAAAGACGCTGTTCTACATTTCTGGCATGTCTCCTATGACAAAAACTTATTGATGACAAGCATGAGAGAGGAATACATTTTTCCCGAAGTAATAGCAGGAACAAGAAGTAAATAAAAACAGTATATAATTGACTATAACCACCATAATGAAATTTGTTTAGCAAAATTTGGTTATCATAACATGAGAGAATTAAGCCTGTCACCTGCTTTTTGTAAACCTACTAACAAAAATTCTGGCAGTGACACAGGAAACATACACTCATAACAACAAAAATAACAACAACACAATTCCCTCCTCATTGGGAGGCATTAATTGTGAACTGAGCACAATCATTATGAGAATCAAAGGGTTTATAGTTAACGAATGTTGCTACAAGCAACAAAAACTAAACTCACTCTCTCAGGTACTGTGCTTGCCTAGCAAAACCACAATCTCTTCTCTTGTTTACTCCAGTTCTTAGGTGAGAAACACTGCTTACCTGCTAACAGCCATAGAAAATGTTCAAAATCAAATGCCCCAACTCCTTAAGAGGTATTTGAACGTTATGAATAGGGCATACTAGTACATTCACAACCACGGAAGGGACATGTCAAGGTGTCTAATATCAACTCTATCTGTCAAGTCACCAAATACAATATCATCTTTTTTAGAAAGTAGAGGCACATGAATCATATGAAACAGAATCAAATAGGGTTAAAATGTTGTGCCTACTCAGATGTTAACATAAAGCACTTTTATGTAGTTTTGCAAAATCAGATTCTTGTACAGATTTTTCTTTGGTAAGAAATTATAAAAATACTAGAGGCCCGTGCACTGGAGTGGAGGGGGAGGTCCCTCAGCCCGGCCTGCTCCCTCTTGCAGTCTGGGACCCCTCGGGATGTCGGACGCTGAGGAGCAGGCCTAAGCTAGTAGTCAAACAGTCGGACATCCTTAGTGCTGCCACGGAGGCGGAAGAGGTTCCCACCACTGCCACTGTGCTCGCCAGCCATGAGCCCAGCTTCTGCGTTGAGTGTCTGTCCCCTGGTGGTCAGTGCGCATCATAGTGACCAGTCATTCTGCCATTCAGTCAATTTGCATATTAGGGTTCTATTACATAGGATTACCTGAAAATCTTCTGATCCTAAAACAAGTTTTTGAGCTAATAATCTGATTTCTTTTCTGTCACTGCTGTAATTTTACCCTTCATCCAATAAATTTTTTCAATAAATAACAGCTAAAGGACCTTCTAATTTTCATTTTCATAGTTTACTTTTTTAAAAATTACTTTGATCAAGATTCTATATCGAACTTTACCTATTTACAATGTTTTTACCTACTATTATTCTTATTCGGAGTTTCAGATGATGTTGTTTTTCATTTCCTGAAATTAAACACCTGTTGTTATTGTCCACAATTCATTAATTAATTTAAGCACACTTAAGTTTTACTTGTGCAATCTTGAAAAAACATTTCTTGAAAAAACATTTTAAAGCCAAAATTATAAGATTATAATTTTCAGGAAAGTCTGATTTCTAACCTTAAGTATTTTATTGTATTTCATCAAGTTGTTGTTATGAGAATTAAAGACAATTTTAAAAATGTTTTATTGATTTTAGAGAGAAAGGAAGGCAGAAAAAGAGAAACATTGATGTGAGAGAGAAACATTGATCGGTTGCTTCCCATACATGCCTTGACCATTGATCCAACCCAGAATGTAGGTATGTGACCTGACTGGGAATTGAACCTACCATCTTTTGATGCATGGGACAAAGCTCCAACCAACTGAGCCACCCAGCCAGGGCTAAAGACAATTTTAACACACAGGAAATAACTAAGTGATTCTATAGAAAGTTCAGTGAAAATAACTGCTATTGAGAAGCACCTTACTATATCAGAAATTTAATTTTTCAAATTTTTTTTCCTGTGTAGCATATACTAGTAGAAACAATGAAGATTTGTTTTATAAATAGGTGACTGGTTAAATGCATAAAATTTGGGGAATAAGAATACTTTAAAACTTTTCTGTTGTAATTATTTATGTTATTAAATACAAAAGCTAGGGCTATTTCAGTATAATTTATCTTAATTGTGGCTATGTAACCTTTTCTAATTAATTTAGCCTTTCCTTAGTACTTTGCTGCTATGTGTAATTGATTACTATTCCATACTTCATATGTGTTTTTTTTCTATTACATACAAATTGATTTTCACATAATTTTTTTGCCTTTTAAATTTATTTCAGTGTTCAGTAGGTTTAGAAACATACAATAATTTTTGTATATGTTTTGGAAATCTAGAACCTAAAGGTCAATATTGCTCATTGATCTTTAGGGTCTAGGATTTTCAGGAAAATATTTATCCATGTAAACAACATTTACAGCTTTGTCTTAGAACCAGATTAAATAATATCAAGATGCTCAAATAATCCATCATTCTATTTAGTATAATTGCTCTTTCATAATACTTTTTCTGTAAGTCTTTCATGCATCTTAAATAACTTTAGAAACTTGCTAACAAAATATATACATGTAGAGACTCTAGATTTTAGCCCTATAATCATCTTTTTTGTATAGGCTTCAAAGCAGCTATTACTCGTTTCTTAATATACCATTGTTCAAACCTTGTTGTTTAAAATACTTTGTACTGTGTTACCTGTATTTTACATTGTAGTCATTGCTTATATTTTGGAATGGACATACCTTTCATTTTATGTGCTTCATGTGTATTATAAATATGCCGTAAGAATATGTTTTATTTTTTCTCATTTTTTGTTTTTATAACAAGGTTTTTGTTTCATTTTGTTTTGTTTTGAATTTTTAAAATTTAAAATGTTCACTTTATATTCTAAATAGTTCTGAATAGTGTGCAGGGCCCTTTTTCTTTCCTTCCTTCCTTTTTTTTAAATGCTATTTTTAGAACTGTTTACAATTCTTGGTTTATGATCAGTCCATGCTTTCTAATACAGGATATATTATGTGCTTCACTAATGGGAAATGGCCTCTTCTCTTTTTGTTGAGAATTAGTGTCATAGTATAATAATTAAGGTATATCTTGAATCCCTATTTTCATTTGACTTAGTGAGCCACAAACCTCTCATTATTATTTTATTGTTATTATAAACTATTGTTGTTTGTTGTATCTATTATTTCATATTGTTCCTCATTTAAGAATCTCATAAAATTATTTCTCTGTAGTCAATTTATTAGTTTTTATAAGCTAAAAACACAGACTCTGAAATTTAATTACTAGAAACCTAGTAACAATCATGACCTAAGATTAGGTGTTATTTACTAAGACAGAAAGCCCCAAGTCATTTATTTTCTTTTTTTTTAATTTTGTTTTATTGCTTAAACGCAGGGGTCCTCAAACTACAGCCCGTGGGCCACATGCGGCCTGCCGAAAACATTTATCTGGCCCGCTGGGTGTTTTTGCCGCCACTGTGTGCGTAGGAATTTGTTAATAGTTATTTTTTAAACTATAGTCCGGCCCTCCAACGGTCTGAGGGACAGTGAACTGGCCCCCTGTTTAAAAAGTTTGAGGACCCCTGGCTTAAAGTATTACAAAGAGTATTACATATGTCTCCTTCCCCCCCTCCCCCACTTGACATTCCCCCGGCCTCCCCTACCCCCCAGTGTCTTATGTCCATTGGTTATGCTTATATGCATGCATACAAGTCCTTCAGTTGATCTCTTATACCCCCCTCCTACACCTCAACCCTCCCCGGCCTTCCCGCTGTAGTTTGACAGTCTGTTCCATGCTGCTCTGCCTCTGTATCTATTTTTGTTCATCAGTTTATAATGATCTTTATTATCCATAAATGAGTGAGATCATGTGGTATTTTTCTTTCATTGATTGGCTTATTTCACTTAGCATAATGCTCTCTAAGTCATTTATTTTCATACAAGATTAAAACTAGACCTAGCATCATAGCATAAAAGAGTCTGTGAACTGAAAACAGTAGTAGTTCCCTCATATCTTTTGTCCGGAGAAACTTAGATTTATGGTTCTGGTGTGTTCTACACCACAATTGATTTCTCCCTTCAAACTTACGAATTAAGAGAGTGATCACCATCTATAAAGTATAGATATTTTTAAAATTACATAAGTGTCGTCAAGAAGTATTTTTATTACTACATGTTATTAATGTTTGGCCTCACACTTTTTATCTTTTTTAGAGATATCTAAAGTTTACATAGTTAAAATCATGTATCATTTATTATTGTTTATTGCTTTTTTCCTCTAGGTCTAAAATCCAAAAGCATTAATGATCTGGTAAAGGATATAGTTAAAGAACAATTTAAATTTTTCCAAAATGACATGGAAGAGACTATAGCACAGCTCTTCAAGACTGTATCGAAACTCTCAAAGGACCTTGAAGACACCAAACACATAATTCAACAAGTTAATGAATCTGTGGTTTCAATAGAAGTCCAGCAAAAGTCTGTTTTAATGCAGGAAAATAGACCCACTTTGACTGATATCCTAGATCTGAAAAATCACATTGTGAATATGAGGCAAGAAATGACTTTTACATATGAGAAGCCTATTAAAGAACTAGAAGCAAAGCAGACTCATTTAGAAGGTGCTCTAGAGCAGGAACACTCAAGGAACATTCTGTATTATGAATCCCTCAATAAGACTCTTTCTAAAATGAAGGAAGTACACGAACATCTTCTGTCTACGGAACAAATATCACATGAGAACAATGTTCCAGCTGCAGAATCAGTTAGCAATAATGTCACTGAGTACCTGTCCACTCTACATGAGAATATAAAGAAACAAGGTTTGATGATGCTGCAAATGTTCAATGATTTGCACACGCAAGACAGCAAGATTAACAATCTCACCATCACTTTGGAAATGGAGAAAGAATTTGTCAAGGGTGAATGGGAAGACGTGTTATCCAAGTGCAGAAATGATTTTAAATTTCAAATTAAGGACACAGAAGAGAATTTACAAGTTTTAAACCAAACATTGGCTGAGGTAATCTTTCCCATGGACAATAAAATGGATAAAATGAGTGAACAGCTAAATGATTTGACTTATGATATGCAGATCCTTCAACCCTTGCTTGAGCAGGGAGCATCACTTGGAGAGACAATGACATTTCAACAACCAAAAGAAGCAAAAGCTACAAGGAAGAAAGTGGAAAATCTGATTAGTGCTGTCAATAGCCTAAATATTCTAATCAAAGAGCTTACAAAAAGACACAACTTACTTAGAAATGAAGTACAGAGTCGTAGTGATACCTTAAACAGACGTATCAATGAACATGCCTTAGAAATGGAAGATGGCCTAAATAAGACAATGACTATTATAAATAACGCCATTGATTTCATTCAAGATAACTACATGTTAAAAGAGACTGTGAGTGCAATAAAGTGCAATCCCAAGTTCCATGATAAATGTAGCCAAAATATGGAAACTATTTTGGCATTCATTCCTCAATTCCAACGTTTGAATGATTCTATTCAGATTTTGGTCAATGACAATCAGAGATATAACGTTGTTTTGCAAGTTGCCAAGGCCCTTGCAGATATTCCTAATGATGAAAAATTAAGTCAGTTCAACTTCCAAAATATTTATCAAATGGTCAATGAAACCACTTCCCAACTGATAAAATACCAGGAAAATATGAATCATTTGGAGGAAAAAATGCTCTCAGCCACAAAGATTTCCATAAATTTTGAAACTCGGTTGCAAGACATTGAGTCTAAAGTAACCAAGATGCTCATACCTTATTATGTTTCACTAAAAAAAGACAATGTGGTCACAAATGAGAGAGACCAGGCTCTTCAACTGCAGGTATTAAATTTAAGATTTAAGGCACTGGAAGCAAAATCCATTCATCTTTCAATTAACTTCTCTTCACTTAACAAAACTCTCTATGAAGCTTTAACAATGTGTCATAATGCTTCTACACGTATATCAAAACTCAATGCTGCCGTACCTCACTGGATAAATGATTCCCTACCAGATATTCAACTTCTTCAGAAAGGTCTTACAGAATTTGTAGAGTCAATAGTAGAAATAAAAACTCAAATCGCTCTATCAAATTTAACTTGGTATATAAACCAATCATTGTCTAGCAGTCTTGCAAATGTTTTCAAGTCTCAGAAGCAAGTAAAATCATTGCTGAAAAAAAACAATGCACTTAAGAAACCAGCAGTGAATGTTAGCACTGTCCTGATCGGCCGAACCCAAAGAAACACAGACAACATTCTATCTCCTGGTAAGCTATCATTGAAAAATCACTTTCAATCTCTTTTTCTATTCAAATGTTACTTAGTAGATCTGTATGGTTTAGCCACACCATAAGATATAAAAGGCAGTTACAAAAGAAGAAGAAGAAAAAAAAGGCAGTTGCTGGAACTTGGGTAAATAGTTACTGGTATGTAATTCTAAGATTATTGAAGTATTATT